GGTTCCGACTCGATGGCACCTGACAATCTTTATAGAAGCAAATCACCAGGACTTTCTTATGTGGCACTATTGGATGTGTTCAAACTGTCAGCCTTTATGTTAGAGGTTGAGTGCAAATCATTTACATCACCAGGGATCTTCTACCAATAGTTAGCGCCTTCAAATGGCCCCAAACAAATAATAAGCAAATAGTCCAATATTCTTGCTTGTGTTAGCACCATCTTGGAAGTTGACAAAGCACATCAGAGTGTCAAAAGGAAATTTTAAATCCTGAAATAAAAGAACTTCTATAACTATCACTCCAAAACGAATTTAATCAAGGAATCTTCTTAGTTTAAAGTCTATTCATACCACACAACTAAAAACCCATGCCAAACCGACTACTGTCAACAGGGTTCTTCAAAATATACTTCGAAAAGTGATGATCGGGAATAGAACCACTGTTAATACCCATAAAATCCTCTCATGTCTTAAGAAGCAGAAGATACGTGTGAATTTCAGGGAGGAATTTACATGAATAGGGTACTGGTCATACACCATTCCCATTCTTATTCTGATAGCTGAAGAGATTCCAATGGTAAGTCAACAGAAACTCAAGGGAGGAATGGTGTATACATTTGGCTTCAGTCATGTCTTATCTCTCAAAAATCTGAGTAGGGCAGAGGCAACTGGGTTACAGAACTGATAAAGTGGAAGTTAAGGAATGGGAGTCACTGTGGATGAAGGTTCTAGAATACAAAGTCAGTTTGTACCGCAAAGTCGGTTGTTTAAGCTCACCAGTCGCTCTTCAGAAACCCTATATAGGGTTGCTATGGGTCAGAACCGACTTGACGGCACTTAACAACAACAACAAGGAATTGGGTGGAGTCTTGACGTGGCACTGTAGGATAAGCACTGGACTGCAAGGTCTGTTTGAACTGAAAAGTAAGAAGTTCAAACTCCCCAGACACTCCTCAGAAATCCTATACCGTCGTTGTGAGTGGAAATTGATTTGACGACACTGGATAACAACAACAACAACAATTGGCTGAACCTCTATAATGCATAACTAGAAAACAGGAACTCTGATATCTTAAAGGAAAACAGTACTATCTATAAAGAGAAAGGAGCTCTGGTAGCGTAGTGGTTACGAATCAGGCTGCAAACTGCAAGGTCAGCAGTTCAAAACTACCAGCTGCTCCACAGGAGAAAGATGAGGCTTTCTGCTCCCGTAAAGATTTACAGCCTCGGAAACCCTGTACAGGGTCGCTATGAGTCGGAACCAACTCCACGGCACATAACAACAACAACATCTATAAAGAGAAGTCAGATATTTAAGAATGACCAACATATCCTTTCTTCTTAAGGTACTGGAATGGTCTGGTCACCATAATTTAAACAAAGCGATGAAAAGCTAAGGCGAACAAGCAGAGTAAAAACAAATTTTAATATAAAGGGACTGGTGTTTGCCCTCACCAAGAAGACCAAGGATAGGGGCACCGAGTATTTGAAAAGAAAAGAAAATCTATGCAGAGGAACATCATGAATACTTGACACTTTTAACACTCTTTGTAGGAACCAAATAAGAAAAAATTAATTTAAGTGGTATAAGACAGGATTCTGCTTACATTTTCTTTTCTTGCTTTATTTGGGATGTGAGAGAATGTTCAGATTAGCATTTTGTGGTTGTTGTTGTTACGTGCCATCATGTTATTTTGTGGTTACTGTTGTTACTATGGGCCAGAGAGTCAGTTCCGACTCATAGCGACTCTGTATAGGGTTTCCAAGGAGCAGCTGATGGGTTTGAACTGCCAATTTTACAATTCACAATCTAGTGCTCATCCTACAGTGCCACACCAGGAGTCCTATTTTGTGTTTGTTCTTGTTGTTAAGTGTCGTTGAGATGGTTCTGATTCATAGCGACCCTGTATAGGGTTTCCAAGGAGCAGCTGGTGGGTTTGAAACGCCGACCTTGTGGTTCAAACTGAGCTTGCAGTCCTGTGCATTATCTTGCTGCGTTTATTAAATATGCTATTGTTGTTGTTGTTGTTGTTGTTAAGTGCCATCGAGTCAATTCTGACACATAGCGACCCTGTATAGGGTTTCCAAGGAGCACCTGGTGAGCTTGCCCATCGACTTTGCAGTTCAAATAACTTTGCAGTCTGACGCATTAACCCACAATGCCACACCAGGACTCCAAGTATGCAATAGCATTATGAAAAAGTTTGAAGGACAGAAACAGAGAGATCTGAGTGAGCACATAGAAAAATGGCACCGACAAACTTACCTGACTCAGGATTGCCACAAAGGTTCAATTTGCAATTAAAAAAAAAAAAATGCAATATCTGCGAACTACAACAAAGTGAAGCGCCCTATAATGAGGTATGCCTATATTAGAAAGGTGTTGTTGTTGTTGTTAGGTGCCATCGAGTCGGTACTGACCCATAGCGACCTTATGCACAGCAGAACGAAACACTGCCCGATCCTGGGCCAACCTCACTACTATTGCCATGCTTGAGTCCATCAATGCTGCCACTTTGCCAATCCATCTCGCTGGGGGTCTTCCCTTTTTTCTCTGACCTTCCACCTTACTAAATATGATATCCTTCTCCAGTGACTGGTCCCTCCTGACAATATGTCCAAAGTATGAGAGATAAAGTTCGGCCATCTTGGCCTCCAAGGAGCATTTTGGCTGCACTTTGTCCAAAACAAATCTATTGGTTCTTTTTGCAGCCCATGGAACTTTCAATATTCTCCTCCAACACCATTACTCAAAAGCACCAATTCTTCTATGGTCGTCCTTATTCACTGTCCAGCTTTCGCATGTATATGAGGTTACTGAAAACACCATGGCTTGCGTCAGGTGCACCTTAGTCCTCAAGCTGACATCTTTGCTCTTCAACACTTTAAAAAAGGTCTAGTGCAGCAGATTTGCCTAATGCAATACGTCATCTGATCTCTTGACTGCTGCTTCCATGAGTGTTGACAGTTGATCCAAGAAGAATGAAGTCCTTGACAACTTCAATCTTTTCTCCATTGATAAGAATGTTGTTTATTGGTCCAGTGGTGAGGATTTTTGTTTTCTTTACATTGAGATGTAATCCATACCAAAGGCTGTGCTCTTTGATCTTCATCAGTAAATGTTTTAAGTCCTCTTCACTTTCAGCAAGGAAAGTTGTATCATCTGTGTATCGCAGGTTGTTAATGAGTCTTCCTCCAATCCTGATGCCACGTTTTTCTTCATAGAACCCAGCTTCTTGTATTATTTGCTCAGAATAGAGGTTGAATAAGTATGGTGAAAGAATACAATGAAAGGTGTTAGAAACATCAAAATTTAATTAAACTCTGTATTGCAGTAGATGTTGAAAACAGTACCACAAGAGGAAAGCCCAGAATGGTGATCCATTATACAATGCTACTATATCCAGTGTTCTGGTCAATATGGGATTTTCAATTCCTCAGTTGCCTGAGGTGAGTTAACAAATCTTAGTATTAAATATTCTGCTGATTTTAGATAGCAATAGCTCCTGAGATTGTAATACTCTTTAAGAATTCATCAGTGAAGAATGTGCTGATCAAAGTAAGAAACTGACTGTGAACTATAACTTTAAATTTAAATTTGATGTGGGATATGAAAATATCAGATAAACAGCTTTATGATTCACTCTAAGCCCTGCGTTTCTTCCCCTTACTGTCAAAACTGTCTACAAGAGTCATGGTTACCAGGGACTGATAAGATGGAAGACAAAAGGAAGACACAAGGCTTAGGCGACACTGAGCAGCGTTAAGGGTGATAAAAAGCTTTACAAAAAAGCTTAATAGTGATAGTTGAACAATATAATGAACATAATTAATGTCACTGAACTGCATATATAAAGAGTGTAGAAATTGCAAATGTTTTGTTGCCTATATATTTACCACAATTAAAAAAAGAGAGAGAGAAATGTCACACACAAAAAGGCAGGAATGGTTTCACATCTGGTAGTTTTCTCTGATTTTCCCTAGAACAGCTGCTTATGTCAAAAACAGGGACATGATGACACCAGTTCAGGAAAACATCAGAAGGGTATTTTTGAAATACTGGAAGTGTTTTTAGATATGTCAACCCCCCCGATCCCCTTCCGACAGCCATGAATGCTGTGATTCCTTTCTCTCTGGTTTCATCCCACGAGCAGGTTTCTGAAGGGCCATCTGTATTAATCGCACACTATATTTGTACAAATTGTTCAATTCTCTTTCTGAAATAAATTTTAATTCCAGCTTCAAAAACAAAAAATAAATAAATAAACACCCCCCAAAACGGGAAGTTGACTGCAGGAGTTAAAAGCGTTTTCTCTGGAGTTACATGGTATGGATTCAAATCTCAGATTCACCTCCTGTTAGTGTAAAGTTGGGCAAGTTACTTAACTCTGCTAATTGCTCAGTTGTCTTACATGAATAATAGAAGTAGAAGTAATAACTACCTCTTAGAACTGCTATGAAAATTAAGTGAACTGATACATGCAAAGTTCTCAGAACCACTGAGGCACATAATAAGTGCTCAAAAAAGGGGGAGGTTATCAATAAGAATTCACTCACATTTCCCAACACCCAAGAAAATGACCCTTTGTGGTCAACTGAAATCTAAACAAAGTCTCTTAGCATCAAAGTGGATGTGGGAATGGTAGGGCAGAGGCAGTCAACACCAGGAACCATGTTGCAGATCATTATCCTGTTGTGCGAGACCCAAGAGCCCAATTATAAGGGTCAACACTGAGTAATAGTGACACTCAAGTGAAGTATCAGTCAAGAATTATTTGGGTAACAAGCAAATTTAAACAAATGTGGACTATTAAGCATGTACCAAATAAGTCCTAATGACTACCTGACCATGAAGAAGAATCCTAATTGAAGAGCAAATAAAATAAACTTTTAAAGGCTTTCAGAAGGCAGACCAATCATCATTCAGAAGCAAATTATTTAAACATAAACAAGGAAGACAATTTGGGAATTATGTAAACAGTAGCTGTCCAAGGCTTATAAAAGGCCCAAGGTGGAAGTCACAGGCCAAACTCAGAAACTTCTCCAAGCAACCCAACTCTCAACCCACCTCCTCACACCATGGCCTGTTGTCAAACCAGCTTTTGTGGGTTTCCCAGCTTCTCCACTTGTGGGACCTGCGGCCCTAGCTGCTGCCAGCCCAGCTGCTGCCAGCCCAGCTGCTGCCAGCCCAGCTGCTGCCAGCCCAGCTGCCCACCCACCTGCTGCCAAACTAGCTTCTGTGGCTTTCCCAGCTGTTCCACTGGTGGGACCTGTGGCTCCAGCTGCTGCCAGCCCACCTGCTGCCAAACTAGCTGCGGTGGGCTTGGTAGTGGCATTGGCTGTGGCCTGGAGGGTGGCTCTGGAGGTATGACCTGCCGTGTCAGGTGGTGCCGCCCAGATTGCCGCATTGAGGGCACCTGCCTGCCCCCCTGCTGTGTGGTGAGCTGCACTCCCCCAACCTGCTGCCAGCTGCACCATGCCCAGGCCTCTTGCTGCCGCCCATCCTACTGTGGACAGTCCTGCTGCCGCCCAGCCTGCTGTTGCCAGCCCACCTGCTGCCAGCCCAGCTGTTGTGAGCCCACCTGTTAAAGGCCAGGTTGTTGGTTTGCAACTTACCCAGAGCACAGTATCTCTGAACTGATCTCAGTCACCCCTGGACCACTGAAACGTTTTTGAACTTTTATTTGGCTTTGCCATGGGTCCTCAGAGACCTATCTGTTTCCATTTAACACTATATGATCTCTCTATTGAAGATGTAAAAATATAAGTTTGACTCAAGGGAAATAGGAAAACAAATTTTCCTTGGGACTGGTCTGCTAGCTAAGATGCAGTGTTGCCAAATATACAGGAAACGTCTCCCCTTCTCAGACACCTCCACCTCTCCTACCCCAACATCTTGCAAATTACATTTCCTATGAAATGGGAATACCATACCAATATCTAATAAATTTTATCAATTTGATGTAGCAAACATATCTTTTTTTATTCATTGAATGCGCTCATGATGTATAGTTTGTATAAAGTCACGTGAATGATTTTAATTTGTTTTTGATACCCAACACTACGCTTCAGTTTCCAGGCCAAGAAATTTGATTGGGTTCAGTGGAGGCTCATCCACATGGAAGATACACCGAATGTGGTTCCTGAGGATCTCACAGGGGCAGACGGTCCATTACCATTTCCTGATTTCACACAGCACTTTTCACAACCAGAAAGTTACAGAAGCCAGAACCTCTGAATCTAGTGGCAGGATATTAGTTATTGTTTTTGTCACTTACAGGAATAGTCTTTCAGACGATCTTCATTGTATACTATGTAATGAATAACATTGTCCATTCACATGCAGCATTATGGGGAAAGTAAGAAATAAAAGGGAGAGAATCTCTCTGGGAAAATATGCCCTCAAGAAGATTTTTTACTCCAAACATATTTCCCTCACCGTCTTGATAAGAAGCAAAAGGTTTACTCTATTTTAGAATAAACATATCTCGTTTAAAATGATTACCTAACAGATACACATATTTATTTTATATAAATGTGCATTCATATGCAATGCACATACACATTAAATTTAAACATGCTTAATCCTCTCTGGTACCATAGTGGTTACAAGTTAGCTGTTAACCTCAAGGTCAGTAGTTCAAAACTACCAGCTGTTCTGCAGGAGAAAGATGAGGCTTTCTGCTCCCAGAAACATTTACAGCCTCAGAAATCCTATACAGGGTCGCTATGAGTCAGAACCGACTCCATAGCACATCACAACCAGCAGCCAATCTTCATTCAATTCACAATAAAAAGTTTAAAATAAATAAATTTATATATGTTTAAACAGAGTGAATATTTCATAAATTTCCAGACAGAATCAGGGTTAATTAATGGTCCAACTCACAGAACTGAAGGTATATGCTTACGAAAATATTAGCTAACCACTACGCTACAATGATTTATTAATTCAAGGGTTAATGAAAAGGTAGGGATTAGAAAGCCTAAATAAAAGTTGGCATGTAAGTAAAGAATTAAATTCCTGAAAATAACATCCAATCCAGGAATTACTCTTGAATCACAGAATAGAAATGGAGACACATTCTGTCCTCTTGCCCCTTTGGATCTATGAAAACCACCTAAATGCTCCTGTTAAAAAATAAAATAAATGTCAAATGCCCTTGGTAAAAGGAAAATTTAGCTTTTTGTCATTTTCAGACACTGCTAACTATTCATTTTTTTTATTCAGCAAGCATTTGTTGGGTTTCTTCAAGCAGGGTGGTATGGAAGATGCTATGTTGGATACCAAGGCAGATCAGACCTGGGCAGTTCATGCCCTCAGGAAAGAACAATGTAGTCAAGCAATTACATAGTTTTAGCCTTGGATGGTGTCTGAGAAGAACAAACCAGTGTTCTGCAGGATTAAGTGGTTTGTCTCAGGTCACACAGTCAATTAAACGTAGACCCCAGTTTCAGAAGTCCATGTAGTTTAATTAATTTAATTCACAGTTAAGAGCTTAATCCCCTACACCATGTAACCCATTCTAATCACCTAAACCTCTACCTACTTATGTTCCCTTTCAGCTCAAAATTCCTCTCTCTCTCTCTCTCTCTCACACACACACACATACACACACACACACACACACACACACACATAGTGGTGGTGGTGGTAATGTGCTGTCGAGTCAAATCATATTGACCTATTATAGGATTTGCAAAGCTGTAAATCTTTACAGGAACAGATAGCCTCATCTATCTCCCGCAGAGTGAATGGTAGATTCGAACTGCTGACTTTGCAGTTAGCAGCCCAACTCGTAACCCACTACACTATCAGGCCTCCTTTATATCTGTATAAAGCATGGTAGGATCAGCACTGGACTTCGAACAACAAGGTTGGCATTCAAACCCACCAGCTGCTCCTTGGAAACCTTATACAGGGTCACTATGAGTCAGCACTGACTCAAAAGCACTTAATATCTATATCTATACATATGTATGTATGTGTATATAGATAGAGATGTTGTTGTTAAGTGCTGTTGAGACACAAAGTGACCCTGTATAGGGTTTCTGAGGCTACAGAGCTTTTCAGGAGCAGAAAGCTTCATCTTTCTACCACTGCACAACTGGTGAACTCAAACTGCAGTCTAGTGCTCATCATACAGAGGCAC